GTTAATCGCAATTCATTTGCTTTAATGGCCCCCCTAAATGCCTTTTATTGCTGCACATGAATTCCAAAAATTTGACTGCAAATTACTCAAGATATTGACTTTCAGTTGAAAGCGTCATGCGGAACATAACGGATATTGAATGGCTGCGCAGCCAATATCGGAACCGCTTTCGCTTACTCTTTATCGGCCTTGGATGGCTTCTCTATTCCATAGCTCGGGTTTTTTACTTTGTAAAAATGCGTTACAATAGGCATACACATCAGATGGACAGAATTCAGTATCATCCGGTTGTCTCTAAGCTGGTGATGGGCGCTAAAGGGTTCGTTCTGCTTAAAGATATTTGGATATATTTCGTTCTCTTCGCCACCATGTGGATATATAAATTTCTGGCGGAGGCCAGCGGTGGCCAAGACTTCATCATGGGCCTATTAATCCAGTTGAGCATTATTGTGGTGCTGCGGCGTCTAATACTCTTTTTGCACTCGGAAGCCGACCGACGTGTTATTCAGCACTTGGTCAATGAAATATTCTACATTGCGGGCACTATGCAGCGAAAATTCGATATGGTCTACCATTGCGATCCGACTCTATTGGGCTTTTACGCTTTCAAATTAATTACTTTTTTCATATGGATGGATGCCTTGTGGTACAAGCCTTACTTTTTAATGATAAATTTTCTGCATTGGACACTCCTGGAGTACTGCATGCTTGCGTATTTCGCCTACCAACTGATTGTGCTGAACTGGTACCGCAATCTAATACTTTTTCTGGAGCGATTTATCGAGCATCATAGAACCAGCAATCGGATCAAGGGTCACTATCATCGTCGGCTATTGTGGCTATTTAAGCTTCATCTACACATCTATAATTTGCATAAAAGCGTGAATAAAAGTCTGGGTTGGCTACCCACAGCCATTTATCTGACCATCTTCACTTGCATCTTCAATATGACGTTGATGCTGGAGTGCGTTATATTTGCCGAAGACGAAATTGTAAACAAAATCTATATCATGGCGGATGGCTGTCTGGGACCCGTGTTCGTACCTATTATCAACGTTCTAATTATGGGCATGTGCACGGATTTTTTGCGCAGTGCCGAGTTGCTTTTGCAGCAGCAGGTTGTCATCGTAAATTTGCAATATGTAAGAAAAACACCGCCTCACGATCTCAGCATGACCGTGCTCTACAATGAGGTGAGTGGAAGTAGTCTATAGAGGATTTTGTTAAATATATATCTATCATATCTATAGCTCAATTTGTGTATTGTGCGCCAGAAAGTGGAACCGTTGGAGAATATAACTGTCTTTGGCATCACCTCTGATCGCGAGTTCGCATTTGATTTCATAATAACGGTCATTGTAACGGCACTGTCCTTTATACAGTACACCATTTCGACGGACAATTTGGTCAAGGAGTGCGCGACGCATAAGTAATCGGGAAAGGAGCAACCTCAATCGAAACTTGGCAACTTGTGAAAATGATTGGAAAATAAACTTAACTAACCTTTTAAAAGAGAACTAGCCTCTTGTTTAGATTTAAGTTGAAATTCTAATATTTTTAAGCTCAGAAGCAATGCTATCTTAAAGATATATAAAGGACTCATGTTTTTCAGAATTGCATATTTAAGACCTAAAACCAAAGTCATATTTTATTTTCAAATAAAAAATCGTTACATTTTTTCATATATTAGCCTAAGAGTTTTTATAAAAATCTATATTTATATGAGAAAACATGTCAAAAATTGGATATTTGGTTTTTTATTAATCTGATAAATGCAATTATACCAAAAATATTTGAGTATTTGTAGAACGAAAGATTTCGTGGGATTCTGCGCCTCATATAATATTGTAAGGGTTGCAAAGACTAAAGGGGGAATTCAAACTAAAAACTATAACAATTTCCCACAACGTGCTTCTCTTTGTAGACAATAGAGCATTCGGTAATGAGCAGCAATGAGGTCCATCGAGTTAAAGCTAGCATTTTACGACGTGACTGTACATTCGTTAAAGAAAGACTGCTGTCTTGTTAATTCTGCTTGGAAGATAAGATATTGATGCAACATGTGATGCTGAATCTTTTTAAATAATGGCGACTTTCACTTTCAATTCTGCTCTCCATTTCACCAACTGCTTCCCTATATGTTTTCTATTGGTTTTATTTTAAGAAACAAGTCCAATTACAATCAGCAGCAACATTAAACTGTCCGACTTCCTGCCATATAGTCTATCCAACAAACTTAACATTTGATTTTTATCGATTCAGTGGGGCAAGGGATTATTTTGCCTGTTTCTGTATTTTCGATAGAATGGTCATGCTTTGAGTGAAAAATCTGCATCGACCTGCTGAAGAGTTTTGTGAGAGCTCTCGTCCAGTATTGCGCAATTACTTCCACCCTTTTTACTTTTTGGCTGAACTGAATCTTTCAGCTTGAAGCAACTAAACTGTTTTTCATTAAAGCAAATGCCTCGAATTACACACTGCTGGGGGAAGCCGAAAAAAAAGAGAAGAGCTTACCAAGTGAACCAAACGCAACTAAACGAGAGTTCAATGCACCGCACAGACAAAAAATACGAGTACATTGCAACGCCATTTCCCCAATGGAAATACGAGTGCCGGAAAATGCAAGCGCTCCTATGTAGGAGCATACAGCGCTCGTACATACTATACTATACTTCTATATAGTACGTAGCACTCTCTGGTGCATATAAAAGTGCGCGCTGAGCCGTATCCTAGACAACATGTATATACCGCAGACCTATAGAGCTGTAAAGCCTCGCAGCCACCCAACCACCCATCAGACACGCAGAGCAGTCTAAGCCGACAGCATCATTACGCACGGCACGGAAAATTGTACATATTTTTCTATAGCGGCTTCACCGTCAGAGCCAAAGCCAGAGCCAGCGCCAGCATTGGCGGCGGCACATTCATATGAAATATACTCAAATACTCATATTTCAATGAAATGAAAAACCTTAATGAATCCGCAAGTGTGCGAGTCGGAGCCAGCCAACCCCCGTATTGGAGCGTGGCAAAGGTTTAGAGCACGGCATGTCGTCATTTTTATTTATGTATCAATTAAAGCGCCTGCTTCGCAATGCCGGGCTCTTCAAACTCTGTCCAAGTGCAATGCGAGTTTTAGGCTACATTTCAAAAATTCGAAACAGAGTCAGAGTGGGTGGGTGGGACGCCCAGCGACAGATGTTTTGTGTCTCGTCGCAGGCGAGATTGCTGCCACGAGTATGACACCCTAAGCGTAAGCGTCCGTACAGCCCGCAACGCACAGTGGCGTTTGTGTGTGTGCATATGTGTATTGGATAAATGTAATAATTACACCGAAAGAACGTTCAGACAGCCAGATAGTATGAGCAACAGTTCAGTTGATTTGGCAAATACATCTCAAAATATATACTCGAAAGATGTTAGCACAAATATATCAGAAAAAAAATTAAAACTTAATCTACATAGTGCTTAGGGAAAACTGAATACCATGTTTGATTGTTTTAGCTCTTGTACTTGCTGAGATCCTTGAGATCATACAGTCGGACGGATCGATGCGTTTGCCACGTATCTTCTCCTCTTCTGTGTGTTACATACATTCGCACTAAGCTACTATAGTTTACCATTCTTCTTCAAATTATTTACCTCCATAAATTTGTTGTTATAAATTCAGAGAAACGATTAGCTTTCAATTAAACTCTAATGGGGGTGCCACAAAAATCTCTTTATTTTTCTTTTTCTCGCCAGAAAATCAATTTTCGGTTTTTTTTTGTTATCAGATAGCTTGTATGCGAAGTTTGAAATCTGAATTCTTTCAAAATTCTGTAGCGCCAACTAATTTTTCGTTAGATTTCAAAAACAATTTAACCCCAAATCTAAAGTTTTCACCCCAGTATTTACATTTATTATTAGCATTAATGCTTCCTTTGCTATTTTTTCCCTTAACGTTTAATATTATTTTTAAATTCTACTACATATATTCATATATCAGTTAAAATATTTTGTTCTAAGCTACGAATAATAAAATAAAATAAATATGGAAACAAATAACATTTAAAAATCCCAAATCTGTGTGGGATTTTGATTTGGATTGTCTAAATGGTGGCCAAGCCCTTTGTACCGACAATTCAGTGATAATCGCAGTTCATCACGAGCTTGTTAGATTTAAAATATTTCAATTCAATGTTAAATTACCTATTTTCATAAATTTCATATTCATTGGAGCTCTAAATCTGGAACATCTAATTCATTTTTAGTGACCCCGACCACGGTTTGTTGGTGACAACTATAGCAGTCGTCACTCCGTGCACTCCGCTCCCCTCATCCCCTCACCCTGCATTGTAGCCGGCTTAAGCTTTGCATTCAGTGGTACTATATATATGTATATAAAAGGCAGGCATCACCCCCAACCACCCACTAAATGTATTAAGAGCGCCTCGCTCCTTTCGCTCTGGGGTTGAGTGATTAAATACCCCGCAACTGCAGTTGAGGTCCATCCCACCCCCTTTGTCTTACATTAATGCCAGCGATGTTGTTGTTGCTGCCGCTGCTTCCTCTGCCATTCAGCTTCAGATTCTCTTTCATTCATGGCTATATGGCTGATGGCTGGCTTGCATTGAAATATTTTTGCAATTATAACTCGTTACGACGCCCGCTGCATCCAACTCTGGGCCGGAGTCGCTGCCAGTCTATAATATGCACACAAGGCTTCTCAACTGGCAGCTCTCGGCGATGTCTGTGTGTCTGTCTGTTTTTGAAATGTAGTGAGCATATCTCAAGTGCTTGGTAGTAAGCGTTGACGAGGCTCTGACTCGACAGACAATGCCAAAACAATGACGCAAACGACGTTGCCGAATTGTGAAAGTGGGCTAATTCTGAGGGTAGCATGGCGAATGAATGAATGAATGAATGGTTCTGGGACTTTGTGGATGAAGCTGCAAAACCTAAGGCATGCCTTAAGATTGTGAAAGATTGAAAGAACGGATTAGCGACGAGTGAACCCATACTTTTATATTCCACACTGCCACATTGCTTTATTACAGTTGAAAAGAGTTTGCATGTTGAATATTTATTATATCAGGGCTAGGTTAGAACTATATAGTATGTTGATCATCCTTCGGGCTAAAGGCTGATCGGTCTATCTGTCTGTTTTCTTGAATTTTATTTGCCATCCATGTGGTTCTTAATGAAATCTATGCGATTATTATATTGATTAAAATTGATGTGGTATCTCAGTTTTTAATCATCTTACAGTTTAAAGGTGCATCAGTCCTTCTTCTCTTTCATTAAATCCTCAATAACATCCTCAACACGATCTGAATGCTCTTTCTCAGCCGAGAGTGCAGCCTTCTTAGCTTCGTCTGCAGATCGTGTTAGTTTGTACCATATAATAGTTAAAATGCCAAGAAAGAGGCCCAGTACTATGCCTATTAGTGCCGTGGCAACCAGAAAAACGACAAAGTGTACCTCATTCTTCAGATAACCGAGGTAGTCGATTATCGGCTGGATCGCGTAAACACAAACGACTTCTATCGGATTGAGCATCATTTTTAATAGACTTGTATAATGATTCAAGTAAATTGTATTGAAGTTTCGTTTAAAACTGAAATAAAAGTCAACAGCTACTAGTTTTGCAAGATTTCAAATTCAATGATTCAAGTAAGGGATTCTAGAATGTATCTACTTTACATTAAAAACGACATACATTTAATTTCAAAGATTTAAAGATAAATTGAGTTCGAAGCTAAAAAAGTAAGTAAACAAACAAAACATCAATAAAATAGAAATGGAAATATCATTTAGAAAAACAATGTGCATTATTAGGGAAATAAAATACTGAAGCAAATATGTTTGTTATTATAAAGAATAAAAATACAAAAACGGTTTTAAAACAATCAATTAAGAAACCAAAAATTACGAAAGGGTGTAAGTTATCGAAATTCCTCTTCCTTTAGAACCAATATTTCTGAGCCTCTAGCTACAAAATTAACATTTAATTCTAAAAAGTGTTCGTTATTGATTGTTTTTGATTTCTTGGGTTTCCTTATGAATAGAAAATAAAATATATTTGATATAAAAGTTATTATTTTTATTATCTATTATTATTATTATTATTATTATTATTTATGGATTATTTTTCTTGAATAAGTGTATATCAGTTCCCTTTTTTTTGAGCTTAGTCTCTTTTCGCGTATAAGTTCTGTTGATACATGGAGATATTCTAACAGTTCTTTTTTGAATTGCGTCACAAATTTTGGTTTTCGAAAATTGTGGGGATCAGTTTGCCATTGACTTTCAAATACGACAAAACTATTCGAGCATTCAAAAATTTTTTGATTCGCCTAAAAATAGCTAAAATAATATTTGGTGTTCTCTAAATTCCTTTTTTTATTTTCTTCATTATGGATTACGAGGCGTATTTTCAGAAGCAATTGGAAATCTTTCATTACCATTTGCGATCTGATTATGGGCTTTTCATAAGAGTGGCAACTTGCATTGCCTTTGGTGCGCTTTGCGGCTGGTTCATGGGCTTCGTCACTTGGATCGTTTATAAGCTAGCCGTGCGGCTGGGCGGTGTGCCATTGACACACTACCGATATCCCGAGGATGATGACTTGGAGCTGGAGGATGAGTATAGTCAACAGGGCGAGGGCGGGGAACTTGACATTTGGATGCGGGAGATGAGGGAGCAGCTTAGGCACCACTAATGAGATGAATTTCCCATTGCCCATTGATTTCGTTTTGTGGCTGAGAAAATAAAATAACAAATTAATGCAGCAGTGCAGGCTAATGAGATTGTAGCGCATTGTAGGATTGGATTGGATTTTCATCTCATCAGTGTCAATAGATCTGCTTCGGGGGTGGGGGTGGGCAGGCGTGGGCGGGCGTTGAAAGCCATGCCTTGGCACTTGGCTATTCCAAAGGCACTCTTAGACTGTCTCAAGTAGTTTTTTCAGCCAATTTTCCTTGGCCGCGCATTTGCAACTGTTGGCACATGCCTTTGTCGTTACTGCTGGTTCTGGTTGTCAAAGTCATTAGCACATTTTTTTTGTATGCGCCATTGCAGTACCAGCGGCCTCGGCGTACTTTAAATTCAATTACTCATACGCCACGTGCACTCATGCCATCGCCAACCACATGAAAGCGGCTCTGCTGCTTTATACATACACACACACATACACACACACATGTATACCTACATAAGTATGTAGTTGTATGTGTGGCCGTATTCGGCTCCTGGTTGGGTTCGTGCGGGTACTTTGTGCACATTGCCTGTGGCTCGAAATATTTAATAAACCATATAGCTTCTGCTTTTTTGTTGCTTTTGTGAAATCACATCAGTTTTTTTTTATCATCGATTTTTTTGTTATTGCTTCTTGTGGCTGCTGTTGGTTTTTGCAAATAGCCCATAGCTATTTTTGTATAAATTTTTTAAAAATATTGGCTGACGTTGCTGCCACTGTATTGTGTTTGTGGGCGTAAAGTGAAGGCCATGACTTCACTTGAAATTAGCTCCAATTTTTTTTATAGCTTTAGGCTTTCTGCTAAACATGAAAAAGGTGTTATAATACTAGGTTGGACGCATACAGCACATGGGAATAAAGAGCGTTTAATTGAAATTAATACTGAGGAGTTTTTAAAGATATTTTACATCTTGTTTCAGATGCGACTGCGAATGCAAAATGAAAAACTCTAAAGTTTGCCAGCACGTTTAGTGCATGCATAATAATTTATAAACTCAAACATATGATGTAGTTATCATACCATATAATAATCAAATAAACAGGTGAGTTTACAGTTGATTCAAATTGGTCCCATTTCCCAACAATAGTCGGGCATGAATTCCTTTGGATAGGACAATACAAAATATAAATAATATTTTGCTTTATGCTGATAATATCAACAGTTCAAAAAGTTAAATAAGAAAGCAAAGTATAAACTAAATAGCTTCAGTGCTTTATTGGCAAGTTCTCAAAAAATGTTTATAAATATTTGTATTATATAATACTTAAAAAATATATATAATGTTTTTTTTTCATTAACAATGGAGCAACATTTGTATTTGCATTTATTTATTCACTATTTGTCTCCTTTTTTATTGCCACTTTTGAAGCTTTACTATAGGTTAAAAGTAAAAGAAAATCTAAACTAATAAGCCATCGACGCAAATCCCTGAATTTGTTTTAATGAGAACTAAAATAATTGGGATCAATTCGCTTGACTTCTTTATTATTGTTTGCTTACATTTTCTTACAAAGCTGTCCATTTTTGAAATGTATGGCATTTGAAAGAAATTCAAAATGCAATTTAAAATATTGTTTCCTCTGTTACACCCGCCATCGTGTAGGTTTTGCAAGTCCCCACCATTAAGCTTCTTTACCGTATGCCATTCAAAAGCCAAAAGCCGTACAACACCCCTCCACCCCGCACTTCATTAGCATCGATATGGGCAAAATCAGTGCACAGGGAAGTCTAGCAATTGCCTGTTGTAAATATGCACAGAGAAAACATAACTCCGCAGCGAAAAAAATGGCAAAAAGTAAATAAAGTAATATTTGTCATGCTCAAATAGACAACAAGGAGCGGTAGCTGTCGTCGTTCGTGGAAAAAAAGGGAAAGAAGAGTAGCAGCTCAATATAAAAAATTATTATAGAAATCGTTAAAAAAAGCTTGATATCTATCAAAAAGCATCGGTAACTGGAAGTGCACTTGGGAATGCAGTGAGGCGGTGTGCTGAAAAGGGACCTGCCATCGTTTGCTCTTCTTTGCCTTAAATATTTACGGGGAAGCAAAGTGCATTGACATCGCCGACTTATTCTGTATTCATTGACTGCCTTTAATGTTAAAAAAAAGCTGTACAAAAATTACAACTAAGAGAAAAATGTGAATTTTTCTTCCATGCAAGCTTAGTCTCCACACAAGTTACATTTAAATTAAACAGACATTATTTCTTGAATTCTTTAAAAAGTACTGACTATTTGCAATTTGTTTTTTTTTCAGTAGGAAATGAACTTTAATTTAAAGCGAAAGAAATGAATGTTATAATTTAACGTGCTAGTATATTAACTTAAATGGTAGCTTTACTTTTTAAAATAATATTAAAGGCTCCACTTAGGAATGCTACATCCTGTTCGAATCTGGTAACAATGCTGAATTAATATTAGTTATTCATTTGGGGCCTAATTCAACAAAACTTTGCTTTAATTCGGATATAAATTCAAACATCAACGTTGACAATATGCAGACGGTGGGAAAAAAACGCAACAACAACACACAGAAAAGTAGTGAAAATATCCATAAGCACATTTTAATTTCCCCCAGGATGCGGCTAAGTATGCAATCAGCCAACCGGGCAGACAGGCAGGAGCCAGGAGGTAGTCGACGGTCGACGGTCGATGGTCGCAAGTCGGCGGAGCTGCCATCTAGCACAAAGTAAGCAAAAGGCCACAAACTAAATTTAGTAAATTTTCGCATGAACTCAGGTCGTGGGGGTGCACAAACACCCAAAGGACGTCATTTTGCAAAACGCAAAACGCTACTAAAAATATTTGGTAACGCTAAGAAGACGTCAAAAAGGCTGTCGTCGTTGTCGTCTAGCTGCGCCGCCGGCCTTAAAGACAATTTGAGCAACGAGCAGCGATTCCTTAAACATACGCAAGCCCAACTGCCTTAGTATATGTATGCTGAGCGCCACTGTCGATGATATGAAAAACTGTGTTGCAAGACAGCGAAATAAAATTTATTTTTGTAACAAAATTGCGTGACAAAACGAAGCGTAAATGCGGCGACAACAACAACAGCAACAACAACCATAACAACAACAGCAACAGCAGCAGCAACCAAAGCAGCAGGGCTTCTGAGTGGGCCACAGTAATGGCAGTCAGCCAATGCCAACTATATTAAAATTTTACACAACCATAGACTATGGCAATGGAGACAACGTCTAAGCGAAGTTCCACAGAGGAAATGATTGGTTTTCGCGCAAGGCAGCGCACAGTGGAGGCGACCGCGACGTCTAGCCAGCGAAGCAACAAATAGCCTGGCAGGGAAATTGTTGCAAAAACAAAAACCAAACTAAAAAGGAGCAAAACTTTTCGCTAGGCAGTCGAGCAGGAGAAACAGAGTAAAAGTTTGCAATGCAATGCAAAAACGCAAGTCAACAACGTAAAACAGAAGCAACAACAAGAATTACGATGGCAACTAGAGATGGACGACATGTAGCGTGATCGTGATGGATATATAGATAGATAAGATTTAACAAAAACATATAGTTCGATAACAAAGTAAATTTCGTTTATGAAGCAATAAATAAATAAACAAAATTATAAAATAATATATATAGATGTAAAATATAAAAATAATATAATGGAATGTAAATAAAATTTAATAATATTATAATATTTATAATATTTCTTACTGACTATATTAGTTGGGTGTTTCTTATATCGGCGTGACTCACAAAAGCTTAGTTTGTCTGAATTGTGATTGCTAATTAGACACCTCCTAACTAAGGACTTATTGTGTGGAAATGTGGAAAGTTAATAAAGTTCAAAATATCTTGTTATCTTGTACGACATATGTATATATTTCTGAATTGTAATAGGGGATATTATTCAAATAAAAGACTTTATATTTATTTTGGCGGAATCAATATATTAAAAGCCCTGAACAAATGTTTATAGCTGCGTGATCCTTATTTCGAAACGTACAAGACGTACAGAGATCAGTACAGATCAGAGGACATAGTGCTAAGAAGAACAACACTTTTTCTTCTACAAAATATGAATATAGGATATGTACTTCATTCTTTTGTCTTATTTTAAAAAGTTATACAATTTCAAGGTTTCATTTTCTTTATGAAAATAATATGTAGCTAGCATTCTAGGGTATGTTTCTTTATATGACTACCAATTTGGTCACGAGACCATCTTCAATGGCAGTTATAAAGAATAGCGGCCCGGCAAAATTAAGTTTCTGCGCTGCTGCGCTGGCAAAGGGCACATTCACATTCACATACACATGCATATATGCTTACAAACAGACATGCTATAAAGAGACCGCCAGACGCGGTCAAATTAAAAGCGCATTGCGAAGAAAAGGCAACAGCGGCCTCTGCGACTCTGCGACTCTGCGACTAATGTAAAGGAGAAGCTTTTATTGCATACTTGTAGGCCGCAGGTGTAGGGCAATGGCAACTGCTTGCTCTATTTGTTGACATCTATAAAGCAAGCAGTTGGCCACATGGGCGCTTGTCATTCTCATACTCATCGCCATCGCCATCGCCAATGCTAACGTCTTTTGCTTTCATTTCACATGCATTGAGACTTTACGGTTTTTATTGCTTTCGTCGACATCGTTGTCGTCGTCGTCGCGGATCCGGCCACATGGCGTATGCGTGTTTGCCTGTACATTTACTTTTCTCTGCTCTGTGCAGTAGCCAGAGTGTATTTATGTTCTTGCATTAATTTTCTAATATTTACCGTTGCCGTTGCCTTTTCGTTGCTTACGCTGGCAAATTTATTTATAGGCTGCGATAGCCATCTTACTTGTATTGTTGTTGCGTTTCTTACATTTGTTTCTGAGTTTCTGGGTTGTTCGTCAACTTCCAATACCCTCGTACTTGTAGATAAACGGAAGCGTTTTCATTTAATTTCTGAAACTGGGTAACTTGCTTAGCCCTTCATAAGAATGGTAAATAAAGCAAAATTTCGTCTTCAAATGTTTTAATAATTGCTCAATTGTTTTCTATACGATCAACAAAAAAATACAATCAAATTGAAACAAATGGTGGGGTTATTAAAAATTAAACACGACAGATGTCGGTTGGGGAGATCAATAGGGTGCGATCTTCTCAGCCTCCTCGCCACCTTTTTTATGTTGAAATTATGTATTAAATAAAATATTTTATATAACTAAATAATTACTTTCCTAATTATGAATTCAAGATACTTTAAAAAGTGAACCTAATCTTACAGTATTTTTATTAACGAGACTGAGTTCAATTGTAAATGGAAACAATCAGTTATCTGGGATGAAAGATTTGCACGAAGAACTATGTATTTATCATAAATATAGCTTAGCTTACATTGGTCGGAATAGTCTAGTTTCAATTGTAGAATGGCTTCAGGTAGTTTTACCAGTTTTTTCAGATCATCAATAAGAAAGAGACTAAAAAGGTAAAGCACTAAGAAAATGTTTGTATTTTGTCATTTAGAACTCCATCTTTTATATTTTCATCGCAGCACAGCTCATGGATTTTTGAAAGGCTGACAATGTTGTCAGTGTGTTAGCCCAATGTTTTACAGTAATTTTGGACCTTTCATAAGTTAGCCAGGTCAAGATAAATACGACAACGCCTTTAATATACTCCAAAGAAATTCTTATTCGTAAACTCATTCGCTACCTGGCATCAATGGCTTATGATATCCACAGAAATTACTTGTCAGACCTGAAAATGGATTTGTACACATTAAGACGAAATGCATCTACTTGCTTCACTTCCAAATTAATTTCATCCATTTCTTTCTCTCTCTTGCTCTCTTGGTCTCCCTGTCTGTCCGTCTCTGTCACTACAGAGAGTGCAAAAATTGCAGTTAAGAGCTGCACAATGGCAGAGCAACAATCCATCACAATCAGAATCACAATCACAAAGCCAACCGAGGAGGCAGCAGCCGGTGGCAGTCATTCAGCAATAATACCGCAAACCAAAAACGCCTCAACTTCAATACAGTCTGCCCAAGCCGAATCCCAAACAGTTCGCTCGCCACATTCCAGCAACAGCAGCAGCAGCAACAACAACAACAACTAAAGTGATGGCGGCGGCAATGACGACGATGTCGGCGTCGGCTTACCAACCACATTTGTCATTTAAGCCCAACCAAATGTAATATGAAAATCGGCATGAGTGGAAATGTCAATGTGCATTGTGCAGGTGGGCGGGCAAATGGGCGGTAAACTGCAATGGCGGCGATGGCGGCAACGGCAACGTCGACAGCGACAGCAATGTGTTGTGGAATTTCCTGTCAAGCTAATTTCCTTTGGGTGCCACTGTAGCGGCAGCAGCGACGTCGTTGGCGGCTACCGCAATGCCAGGCAGTCAACGTTGGCTTTTGGTCGGGAAACCACCACGGTGGGTGGGCGGTGGTACATCGAATCAATTCACCTGCATGCATAAAATATTTTCGCTTACACACACACACCACGCACGCTCACACCCTCATGTGGGTGCCTGCAAAAATAAGTGCACAAAAGTATATGCAAAATATTCAAACATTGCATATTTTATAGTTTATTGACTGCAGCGCCGCTGTGAGCAACGGCGCCAACTTTTCATCGTGTCAACAGAGAGCTGCAGAGTTGAGGATCGAGTACGAGGGCTCCCAAGCCAATACACTCGCGGCACCGTGGGACAATCCACTATAAGTAGACTATATCAAACTAATTGAATGAACAGCTAAAAAGTTGCTTTATAAAGTGAAATCGAACAATTAAATTTCCAAACAAGAGTTAGCAGATCGAAGAAGATTCAAATTTGCAATTGTTCACTTTTAAAAATAGCAAATACTTTAAAAATGTTTTATACATTTATGAAGGCTATTCAAAAGTGACATCGAACAATTAAATTTCAAATACGATTAAAGTGAAGACTCATAATTGAAATTGTTAATTTTTAAAACTAGCAAATACTTTAAAAATGTTTTATAAAAATTGTAGCAGAGTCGAACATTTATTATAGCGTGCTGGTGCTTTTGGTTTGTTTTAATGTATTTTACGAATGTATCTTTTTTGAATCATAACTTTAGTGTGGAGCCAAAACTGCGATCGAATCGAATTGAAAGTTTTTGAGAGAAGCAGTTCCATTTATTCAAATAAATAAATGCCATCAAAATATTGCTGCAAGTTTTCTTCTCGTTTTGGTTTACTGCTTTCTAAGGGATGACGAAATATATTTTAAGAATTTCGTTTCTAGTAGTGATA